CCTATCCCCTGTGTGCCTTGGCTAACATGGACCGAAAATCCTGCTAGCAACAGGGAATCTGGAAAGTCTTTGAAAACCTCTCACCCCGAAACGACGGCTGGCGCTGCTAATTGCGCTGCTTCGAGCCCTCCATCACCGCCATCATCAGCCTCTGCCCCGGGAAAACCGCCCTTGGGCCCATCGACGCTCGGTCGAGAACCTTTACCGAAGATAGGTCAAATTATGGTTAAAGTAAATACATACCCCACCCCCGACTCGTCACCAAAGAGTCAAACCACCTCCTCTCCTTCCATGTCCGGAAGGTCCAGTGCCTCCCCGGCCGGTTTCCCGGAGGTCACGAGAAGACATGTCGAAAGGGTGAACTCTAAAATGAACTCTATACTTGAAAGTATTGAGGCTACAGGATGCCGGAGCCATCCTCTGAATGAGGGCCAAATGGAAGTTGATCCCCTTCCAAGAATCTTTTGTGGTCCCACCGCGAGCAGCTCTTCCACTGTCAATGATTCATGGGTGGTCGGGGGAGAAATTTCGGACAATGACCCGGAGGTTATAAATTCAATCGATGACCTTGAGAGAGCGCTCGATGATTGTCTTCCAAACCCCTCCGATCCCGTGGAGGACTGCGAAGGTTCAGAGAAAGATCCGCTGTTAAAGCCCGAGAACGCGCCCATGCTGGCTATGCGGATGCCAAGGAATCCACCCCCACCCTTGCGCAAGCCACAGTTACACACCAGCCACAGTCTACCCGAAGGCAACGCCCACTCACTCACCCAAAGGACCCAAAGGGGAAATTTAGCCGCTGCGCGAGATCACGGGCGCCCCAAGAGCGACTCTGGTATCGGGTCAACACAAGGCTCGCCTGGGAACGCATTTTTATACAAAGAATACAAGGGTTTGGACTATGAGGGCTCTGGGCAACTGTTCTTCGGGGAACTGCCTCCGTGCGGTACCGGGAACCCGGTGGGGGCTGAAGGTGGTCGATCTGGTAAAGACGCTACGAATTCACATGTTCAGGAGTCTCGTAGCTTGGCTAACATTATGCCTGCAGGTTCTTTGGGCTCAACCCCTTGTGCGGTTGAAGTTTCGGAGGCTGCTGCCAATTACAGTGCCCACCATCAATCCTCATCACAATTCCATGACATTCAAGCATCCTATGGTTCCACCAGTTTTCATTACGGGGAGCCGACGCCCCCCAGCTCAGCTATCCGCTCGCCATCCGCCTATCCTCCCTTCGGAGCTCATGATTTCTTGAAAACGGAGCAGTTGTCCTCCGAGAGTGTTGACGCTATGGTCGGTTACATTCTCGAGCCCATTCTGCGCAACGGAGCATTCAAAGACTTCTGGCACCTGTGCAAACAAGCAAAATGCAGACTCCTGCAAGGGAAAATATGCTGGTTACGCGATTTGGAGAAGTTCCTATTTGATGGTGTTCCAGTTGGGTTTCCATTCCCCCCGACATTACCTAGGCCTATATTAACAGTTGCCATAGGCTGTCCGTTCACTGAGCTCGTACAAAGCATTCTGTGAAGCCATTTTGGACAATTGCCAAAGAGCCCTTCCCTATATCCGGGAATCGGACCAACAGCGGTCCTATGACCCTGTCTACTCTCCGGCCTACTTCATCGATGCCCTTCATCACGCAAAGGAGTTAGCAGATGCTTGGACAGCTGAGAAAAATAAAGTTGTGCGTGAGGCTCGCCACAACTGCCAGTCGGCTAGTGAAGAGCTTGACACTTCTAGAAATAACAAAAGGTATTTTTGTGAACCGCACGATGCATCTTTTTTTTATCTTTTTTTTCACCGCCTTGCTAAAACCCAATGAACGCAGTAGTAAACTTAAAGATTTTGTGCTACCTCCCGATATGATCTCTCCGGAGGGTCGCAAAAGGCAAATGCCTATTGATTTCAACCAAGATGAATCACAAATGAAAAGGGCATTGACCCCAAACAAAGTAGCTGGGTCTGTGCGGCCGGGGTTGGCTATCCAGACTTCGGCCCCCCTCGGATATTATGATGGTTACCATGGCGCGCTA